TCCGGATACTCTGAATTACACATACCAAAATATTAAGAGCAAGTGTGGAGAAAGAAAAACACAACATAGAAAAAGCATAAACCAGCAAAAGTCATTGGTGGTTCTGCCTAATAATTGTATCCATAGAACATCTGGCGTGGTATAGATAATGAATAAATAGGAGTTAATATAATTCCAATTCCAACAGCATGAAATTACTTCAGGGAAACAGTCACGTGAAAAATAGTTACTATGGAGTATCAGGTTTTAGTGCACTACGCAAAAGAAAAGGGAGTAAGAATAAAGAGTTTAATTCAACTTATTAAGTTTAAGTGTTCAACAACCAGTCACCAAAAAGAAAAGAATAATCTTTGTTTCATATTATGTCCTTAATTTTTGCCAATGCAAAGATGGGGGGAAATTGTCAACGACATAAACGACCATAAACATGCAAGATGCAAAACAGTTTCAGGATTTGACCTGGAACACAACATATGGTTTTCCATTTGTTTCTAAGGAGCACCTAAGAAGACTTCAAATTTAGATTCTCAGTTCCTTCCAGTGAAAGATAATGGATCTCCAAGAAAATTCAATACTATAGGCACAAACTTGCTTCAAATTCACTACCTTGGATGAGATTACCTTCGATACACATCAGAATACTTGGGTGGTATGTTCTAAACATGTACTAGCTTGTTACTTTGATTCAAAATTTCCCTTTCAGATAAGAGTTAAGTTAGTACCTTTTAGAGAAAGTTTTAGCTAGTCGCTAACTTTAAACCGAGGTTGAATATTGGGCGACCCGATTAGGATCATAACAGTTATGTAACTAGAGGTCTGACTCTGAAGCATTCAAAAGCAAACAAAATATTCGGGGGAGGGAGTTATTGCCTTAGTAGAAGGAAACCATCCATTCAGTTGTCACCCATAGCTACAGGAAGTAGCTTTATAGCCGACGAAGAATAGGAGAAACAACATAACCTAAAACCCACTATTTTTCCAACCTATAACATGCCTCTTTAATCCTTTTACACATACATATTTTTATTTTTTCCTCCATTTGCGACTTTCTTCATTAGTGCTTAAAGCCCCAATGCACCTTAGAGCTTTTTTGTGTTTTTCACCTTTGATAACACTGTTCACAACAGTTTCAACAAAAAGAGTAGAATGTCACACATTTTTGTGAACACCTTTTCTAACAAAAGGAGGTTTAGTTGACTCAGCTGAGGAGAACATGTGTAGTGAACGTAGAACCAGAAAGATGAGCAACGAAGGAAATATTTGAAGGGTAAAACTCATGACTGACATTACCTCTACGAAAGGGGCATTTTCTGGATCATCAAACCTCCGCAAGGGTCCATCATCAATAGTGAACCCATTGGTCCAGAAAGTGATGGTATGAGTAACACTCTCAGGTGGCTGAGGAGCAGCGGACACAGTCTCACCCGTAAGTCTTCTAGCAGTTCCAATAAAGCTTCTAGAGCCAGATGATGCAGGAGGTCCTTCAACAGTTGCATGTTGTCTAGCTTGATCGAATATTGAGTTCACATCATTTGCCTTAGATGGATCTTGAACAAGCATTCCGCTACAAAAAGATTTTGATAAGCAAATTACTAGCAAAAATGCACACTGCGTCTCTACAATACAAGTCCGAAATATTCAAGTGTATCCATGTAACAGAACACCTCAAGAATAAGAATTATGTATTTACAATGTTTGCTTTCTCCATCTTACATAAACAGAATAAGGAATTGGATGATGCAATCTAGTGAACCAGAAACAAATTCTTATAAAGCACCACATGTTTAGTTTTCTTTTCGATGATGAGCACTTTTTCCATATTCCAACAATTTTAAAAATACTTGAATACATGAACAAATCATAAAGCCTTAAACCTGACCAAACCCAAATCGTGAGATTGATAGTAATAGGAATATTTCCTATATTTACACCACGAAATGGTGAAAACAGGTAACATGCAGGACACACTAGTAGGGAAAACACATTGAATCCATAAGTTCAACTCGACCCCATACATCAACGAAATTTGAACCTGATAGTGTCTCAACTCTAAGCAACTCCTCCATAAATACTAGGTCAAGGCTCCATTGGCTTAGACAGCCAAAATTGCAACACACAAACATGTCACATTGATAAGCAACTACATCATGCAACATTGTGATATCAAAATACACATATCAACACACCCGAGGGTGTGACATAGTGATCAATTATATAGAATGAAGCTATGGAAACCAGGATCCAAATCTTGGTAAAAGCAAAAAAAAAGCTAGATGATTTGTACTTGGTGGAAGGATATAGGAACCCGGTTGCATTGTCAAGATCAAATTGATCAGACACAACAGTAAATTAAGAATAAACAGGAATGATAAGCATACTGACATCACAATTTTCACATATTCCTCTCATCAAAGGCCTCAAATTTCTGCACTAGTAAATTCAAAATATATCATACTCAAACACTTTCTCCAATTCTTACTCAAAAACAAACTAATGATAGAACATCAATGCCAATCCTTTATTAGTACTAACTACATATGAATGAAGCAATACATAGCCAATAGTAAAGTAGCATTAGTATCACCAGTTATACCTTTTCTCTCCACCAGTATAATACTCTTGAGGCTCATCGGAGTCACTCCCAGACCCAGTAACAGGACGACGATTCAGATCAGAGAAAGAGTGAATTCCACCAGTTCTCCTCCCAGCAGCGCCGCGGCTAGAAGTTGGAGGGTTTCTAGGTCGAGGTGGAGAGGGAGATCGCGAGCGCGACGGAGAACGGCCTTGCGCGGCGACGTTAGTGGCGGCGGAAGCAGGGACAGGAGCTTCATCGTCTTCATCAACGGCAGCAGCAGCGGTGGCGGCAAAGGTACTGTTCTCGAAGAAAGTGGAAACAGCAGCATCCAAATCGAAGTTATGGCTTTCAAGGAAGAAAAGGGCTTCAGGTTTAGAAGCAGAAGTAATCTCACAGAATGTGTTGACAAGTTCTTCTCTTTGTGCGTCGGCGGCGAGATTTGCTTGATTTTCCATTTTTTCTGAATTCTGATGCTTCTTCGTCTTCCTCTCTTTCTCTTTTTCGCTACGACTGTAGAGTTTTGGTATATATTCGTTTCTTCCGCCGAAGATTTGAGTATTTCTTTTTTCCTCTTTTATTAAAGAGGCTTAGTATTATTTTCTATACAGTCCAACATCGAGTCTAGTAAAAGAATTCTTATTATACACAAATAGATTTACCTTGTGTTCGAAAAATAAGATTGTGAATTTTTGAAAATAAAAGAAATATTATTTATTATGATATAATATAATATAAATTATAATGATGTCTAATTGGTAAATATGCCTCTATGTCTAACTCATACTTACATTGAGTTGCAATGTAAGAGTACTATTGCAAAAGATCTCTATACAAAATATTGATGGACCTTATTATTCTTTAAAAATTATAATTCACTTTGGATAAAATTATAAGTTAATTTTATCATAATAGGAGTATCTTTTTTATATTTTTTTCCCAACCAGTTTATGGAGTCCGACGCTGGAATCGAGATTTCTAATTAAGGGTGAAACAGTCCAACCATTGCACCACAATTCATGTTGGTTATCATAACATTTAGGGGTCGTTTGGTGTAAAGGATAAATATCAAATAGTCATGAGATTAAATTATAGTAACACTTAATTTGTTGTTTGGTTGGCAAGTTCGAAATAACTTATCCCGAATTAATAAAAGTATTGGAATAAGTTATTTCTCCCTTGGGTGCTATAGTAATTACAGGATAACTTATCTCAGGATAGAATATGTAGATGACAAAGATATCTCTTTAAACCCTTTTTTATACCTCACTTTTCACATTCATGTATATTTACATTATTTTCAATATCATGTATAATAACATTCACAACCTTCACTACTCCTTATTTTTAGGGAAAATGTCTGAAATATATCCAAACTTTGATCGAAATTGTTGTAACGATACCAAACTTTGGAAATGACCTTTTACCCCTGCACTATTTAACAGTGTATTTTAAAGGTATATATGTGCCTACGTGGACATCATAAATATTGCATAATTATAAATAGTAACATGTCCACGTGGACACATATATACATTTAAAATACACTATTAAATAGTGCAGGGAGACAAAAGGTCATCCATAAAGTTTGGTATCGTAACAACAATTTTGGCCAAAGTTAGAGTATTTTTCAGATCATTTTCCCTTATTTTTATGATAATTCTTCATATTTTTCAATTAAAAAATTACATTATATAAATATTATTTTTATTTATGAATTTATTTGACTAATTCTTATGTTTATTTATATTTTGATTTCTCATAAATCTTTTTTTACTTTAACATACTTAAGGTGAAAGTTCTATTTTTAAGCTAAACAAAAAGAAATAAATTAAAATACATATGATACCAACATGGGATGCACACACAAAAATATTTAAGCTAAATAAGATGAAAATTTTACTTTTAAGAATAAACAACTAAAGCTTGCAAGTAAATATAAAAAAAAAATAAACTAAATAAAGTGAAGGGTATTTTTGTAAACAAAAAACATATTCTTAAAATTTATGCAATGCATATTATTTTAGAATACAACCAATCAAACACTCAATAAAAAATAATCTCAACATAACTTATCTTATCAGAACTAATCTCATCATAACATTTTTTTTTATCTTAACCAGGTAAAAGTCTTAATATTGGCTTTATAATCGATTAAAATTATGTTTAAAATATGAGTATGAAGAGATGTGATTGCCTGATTGACCAGGTTCAATAACATCAATGAAAATTTCTATTTGATTTTAATTTAATGAAGCTAAGCTTTTATAATAGTTTATGACTTTTTTCGATTATTAAGCATCAATGATAGAACTAATAAAGCCAAAGTGTGGCAAGTTAGTTATGCTATCTTTCTTTCTTTTCTTTTTTGACAACAACAAACAACCTTACTATATTAATGAATATAAATTCAACATACGTTTGATTATCAATTTACAATTCCGCTTAACTAATGCATGTATAAGTTATGATGAGTAACTAATACATGAATTACTAAATCTTACCTGCGTAACTATAACCAACAACCAAACGAAGGGTACACAAAGAGAGCTGCACCAATTTCCTGGTTGCAGCATAAGATTTCTAATTGTTTTTTGGTAGTATAGTAAGTACAAACTCAAGTCAACATAATGTGATTTCCCACAAGACCACCCCAGCACTAGCTTCATTTCCTGGTAGCTTTTGCAAAGAACGAATGCCTTTTATAAAGCGTTCATGGAGGTAATCAGGTAATTGATCCAGTAACATAAGGTATATTCACCAAACCGAAAAAATGCTGCAGAAAACCACTCCTCAATGCCAGGGACACTACCGCAAACAAAACTCAACGAGTTTTTCTATCAGCATTTCCAGTGCCTGTAAGTCGGGGAACAACAACAGGTGCACCACGAACCTTTTCAAGGGCAAAGCTTACCCTCAATGGACGACCTAGAAAAGCCTGAAAGAAAACTAATGTCATTTTGAAATTCTATGCCATTGTGACAAGGCTGAAATATCACAGTATATAGTTGTTAGCTCACCTTTCCATCCATGGAGTCTTTTGCACTGCTGGCTTCTTCGTCTTTTGAGAAGTAAACAAACCCAAACCCCCTTGATCGGCCAGTTTCTTTATCATACATTATCCTTACTAGACATGAAAAAACAGATATTCAGGCAATTTAAGTTCAGCTCAGAAATAATGGGAATGTACATACATGTTCATACAAAAAGAAACAAGAAAATGAAAATCTTGACAATCAGTAATATCATGCAAGACAATGTTACTGACAAAATATTGAAGAGCAGTATGTCATGACCCGCCACTTTGCCCTTCAAGTTGGGCATAAAATAAGGAGGAAGAATCTAGAGTTATGGAGAGGTTAGTGGAAGACTCTAGAATTCCCTAGATCTTTCCTTAGAAGACTCTAGAATGCCTTAGAAAATGTCTTAGAAAGGCTTAGAATTCTCTAGACTAGTAGAGAATTCTAGATTAGGACTAAAGTGTAAATATTGTAGGGACTTGTAAAGTAATTATTATTTACACTTAGGCCCCTAGGGAGTAGTACAAATAGAGGGCCTCTCATTTGTAAATCATCCAACAAAGTTGTAAGCAATCTTCCACAAGCAATACAAAGCCTTCGTCTTTCTTGCATTCTCTTAGCGATCTAGTGTCAAAAGGGCATACTTGAGCTTACAAGACCGTGAAAAATTCGTGAGTAAGTTGTCGAGTGCCGCACGGAACATTAGTGAGACTCTGAGTCCGTGACAACGTGGTATCAGAGCAAAGGTTTGTTACTAAGGGAATGGTGAACGAAGGAGACTTTAACACCGCTAGCACCACCAACGTACGACTGGATGGTGGAAAGAAGAGCCGCAAGGAAAACAAGCACCACAAGAGTAGTAAGGAAATGTTGATCGACCCCACCCTAAGCGAGATGCTAACATCTCACCTACCTTCGACTACCGAAGCAAGTGACGATGACCGTGGCGAGGAGCCCATTGACGTCACAGCCGGAAAGGAGTGGATCGCAAGGGTTGAGACGGCAAGGCAGGCCGTGGAGATATTAGGCCGGCGTATGAACAAGGTAGATGGAAAGTTCAAAACTCTAGAGGACTTCACCCTTGAGGAAAACGACAACATCCGCAAAGAGTTGGAGGGACGCCGGCGCACTGAGTTTGAGATGAAGGAGGTCATCGCTTCATTGAAGTGTCGGATCATGAAGGCGTTAAGCACGATTGAGACCATGAAGGCCGAAATAAAAGCACTCAAGGAGGGCGTGAAAGTTGGAGGATCGTTCGATCGAGATAGGGAAGCCAAGGTTGAGGCTCCCAAGCCACCTATGTTCAAAGGCGTCCGTGACGCGCAAGAGGTGGAGAACTTCTTATAGCACTTGGAGAATTATCAAGTGTAGCCAAGTGAAGAGCGACGAAAAAAAGATCAACACCGTTGTGTTGTATCTTTCAGAGATAGCCATGCTATGGTGGAGGCGTAAAGAGTCGGAAATGGGAAAGGGACTTTGCACCATCAACACTTGGGAGCAATTCCGAGTGGAGTTCAAGAAAACTTTCTTCCCTAACAACACCATCTATGAGGCGAAGCTCAAGTTTAGGGAGCCTGAGGCAGACCGAGCTGGAAGAGATAAGGAAGCAGCTGAGGGAGTTGCATAAGGGCATTGATCGAGTCAATGGACTACTGGTCGTGCATACGAAAAGACAAGACTCGATTGTCTATGCAGCAGCTATGCGACGCGGTCGTCGCATCAATAGGTAGGGGAGAGTATCATGATCCGCCACTTTGCCCTTCAAGTTTGGCATAAAATAAGGAGGAAGAACCTAGAGTTATGGAGAGGTTCGTAGAAGACTCTAGCATTCCCTAGATCTTTCCTTAGAAGACTCTAGAATGTCTTAGAAAGGCTTAGAATTCTCTAGACTAGTAGAGAATTCTAGATTAGGACTAAAGTGTAAATATTATAGAGACTTGTAAAGTAATTATTATTTACACTTAGACCCGACCCCTAGGGACTAGTATAAATAGAGGGCCTCTCATTTGTAAATCATCCAACAAAATTGCAAGCAATCTTCCACAAGTAATACAAAGACTTCTTCCAAAGCTCTTTAAATCTTTCTAAGTCTTTCTTGCATTCTCTTAGCAATCTAGTGTCAAAAGGGCTTCTTGAGCTTACGAAAGGGCTTACTTGAGTTTACAAGACCGTAGCTCTATTAACAACTTGATACTAAACCAATAAGTATTCTGCAACAGACCTCCTTCATCCCACGGGAAGTGCATCTTAAAGCTGATTCTTCCAGTTTATACTTCGAGTGAAGCAGAACCAGGGGTGACTATATTGGTAGCCTATGTTTGAAAAATATTTCTGGTAGCCTATGTTTGAAAAATATTTCTCAAGATTGCACACCATTGCTTGATGTGGACAATTTTGTCTCTACTAAGCTACGAGTAAAGCAAGAAAGTTGGTCAATAAGTATCTAATCACACCAGAGTGAGTCCATTCCGGTTGAATAATCTCTAAAAACTGTGTTCCAGAGGTAACATGGAAAGGCAATTCAAGAAAGGACACTTAGCAGAAGACAAACAATACTTCTTGTGAATGGCAGCCCCATTAATCATTAATCATTAATCATTTATCACTACTTTTCCAGTCAACTGCGCTCTACTAATTTTAATACCGTCTCAGAGTCATCCATTGCTTGCAGAAGATTTTCTTGCCCTGAACCTTTCAGGTATATACTTTGTTCAAATTCTCTGCTAGCTTTCGTCTTTTATTATATACTATGATTTAAGGTTCATTGAAATTAATACCATGAGCTTAATCTTTTATAAGCTGACCGCTACACGTTGGTGTTACCTAGCTCCTTCATGCCCTCAATAGTACAGATACTTGCACCTTCCGTAAAGAAGTAATTCCATTGAGGCATTTTATCAAATACATAGAGTGCAACATAAATATACATTTGTTCCTGAAGAAACAGACTGTAATGTAAATCATTAGCAATTTGTATTACCTTCTGTTACTTGCCCGAAAGAGGAGAATGCATCACTTAGCGATTTTTCATCAACTGACCATGACAAACCTGCAAATACTCACAATATGATAAACCGATATATATACAGATGAAATGACAAAATTAAGCCAAACTGAAATCATAGTACCAGCGACGAAGAGCTTGTTATTGGGAAGTAGAGAAGAAGATGGATAAACCGATATATATACAGATGAAATGACAAAATTAAGCCAAACTGAAATCATAGTACCAGCGAAGAAGAGCTTGTTATTGGGAAGTAGAGAAGAAGATGAAGGAGGAGAGCAATACAATCGTCCATTCACAATATTATTTGGTAGTCTTACAACTCTTCTCGACAACTCTATCAAAATTCCCTTCATTTTTTCTTTCTTTAAACTTGCTTCTTCTAACTTTGTTTTTATTTTAAAATCCATGAATTTTTTTGTTGAAATGCCTATTAAATGTTTGATAAATGGAAAACTAGCAATAAATTACTCCCTTAAGAAAATTATTCATTCCTAAAAAGTTAGAAGTATTTTTACTAATTTACAAAATCTTTACAAAGAAGTTGATCTTTAATAGTTTTTTAGTTATAAAATTTCATTTATTTAAATAAGGATAAAATGGAAGAGAAAAATCAATGTCTTCTAAATTTTGTGAAATACCACTTATTTTGAAACGAAATGAAACGAAATGAAACGGTAAAACACAACAGTTTATTTTGAAATGGAGTGAATAGTAGTTAAACAAAGGCATGACAAGTGTACACTTTGGCTGCCCGTTCGTCAGGCTACACAAAATTATAATGCTTAGTAGTAGAGAACATCTCTTTTAGCTTCAGAAATGTGCTAGCTGCTAGTATAGAGACCATAAATCTACAGCAGGACTAAAACAATTTTCTCAAAAGATAATGTTAAATAATGTGAATAACTTTTTTTTCCGTCCAAGAATAAGATGAACAATTCTCCAAGAAATAACCAGCATGTTGTGATTGTAAACAAGTTTTTGCCATCCACTGAGCCCATTTGCTATATTGGATGAATGTGTTTTGATGAAAATGTCAAAGGAGCAGAAGTTCGAGTTCGGATTTGGGAATCAATTAAGCTTTGGCTCCCAACTCCAGCATTAAAGTGTGATTGGTTTCATTTGATGTTGGGCCAACAAATTGAAGTGGACCTGCTCACAAATACATAAACAAGAAAAAATAACCACACAATGAACACAAACCATCGAACACCTATGCAGAACTTACAAATCATCCTAAATTAAAAAAAAGAGTAAACAGGGGAGTCGTGCTGGAACCAATGCCCTTTGGTTGCAACTACAACAACATAGCCAGTGTAATAGCTCAAGTGATGTTTGAGAGTGTACGCTGACCTTACCCCTACCTTATAGGGATAGAGATATTGATTCCGATAGAGTGTTCCTTAGTTGTAGAAGAATAACAGTGTGTCAACAGGATAATCAGATATATGATTTGCTAATATCATTATGTTTTATCACTTGATGTACTCAATGACGGTTCATTGCAGCGAATATGTTACTTGTGAGGTACTGGTGTATCAGTGAGGAGGGTATATTGGCAACCATACCCAATAAAGAGTGTGCCAGATGAAAAATGATACCACACAACCACAATTTCAAATTAACAAGGACATCAATAGCCTAATTAGCTCTGTATGTGGGAAAAAAAAATCTCAACGTTGTGGCTAATACATGCTTTTAAAGGTTAAAATTCATATAGTGAATAAAACGAACTTAACACGTTTCTAGAAACAATAATAAAGACATACCAGGGCTGAAGTATCGATTCTTTAGAGCCCACTCTTCTCGCAAGGAAGCAAACTTTTTGAAAGGAGCACCTGGGAGTAGAACAATTGTGAGGCTTTAACTACCCAAAAATTACAGCAGAAAGGATTCTACTAAAAGATACTCCCTCAATTCCATATTAACTGAATTTTTTAGGTTTTTTTCATTGTTCAAAATAATTGAATTGTTCAAGATAGATGTTTGAAATATTTTTAATATTTGTCCTTTCATTTATTGAAATTTTATATTTTCTAGGAGATAAATTACACTACTTATAAAGTTATATTTATGATTTCACAAAGGGCAATAGTGGAAATTATGGTTTAAATTATGTCCTTGAATGTTATTTTTAAATATATGTACATTGCCTCACAAATTCAGTGAATATGAAATAGAGGGAGTAGTAAGTAACCATAGCTTGTATGATTTATAGCGTAATGGAGCTTTTACCTTCTAGTTCCACCATTGCCTTCTTAATCACAGGCTTGAACTTACCTGCAAAAGTTTGATCATTTCATCACAAATATAGCATGGAATCTTAGCCAAAACTTGACAGCCCTGGAAGGCGATGGCAGACCTAGTGTCTATGTAGGACCACTACTTTCTGATCTGAACTTGTATATATATCTGAAAATCCCTGATCATTGGTACTTATTAAGAGAATCGAACCCACAGATTCAAATGACCAGTGGCTATAGTGGAAGCTACTCAAACTAGCTTTGAGAACTCGAATTACTGATTCTACATCCTAGATCTACTCGTACTGAGAGGCTCATAATGTCATCGAGCTAAATACTACTAATTTAATGTATGGGACTCTTAACACTCCAAAGCCTTGTCTATATAATTTTTTTATGGATCATCATATAAGTGAGGGGTGTCAATCCCCGGAAGGCTCAAACACAGAATCTCTAAGTGTGAATCTTTCATATGATGTAAGCTAGGTACTTTTCCGTTATTATAATTACTTGTGCAAACATTTGGCTGGTCCTTGTCAATTCAGTTTTTATTTTTGCTTTGTTTTGGAAAATGGTTTCCATTTACACTGGAAGGACTAAGAAAGGCACTTGTCCTTAATTGAGTATTGCCTGAATATATGCTTTAAATGACTAAGTAGATGCTTCAGAATAGAAAAATTCGAATATTTTCTTTTAGCACTTAGGTATTCAGCTAAAATAATTCAAACAAAAGAGCAAGAGTCTGAACAGCAAAATCAGGCACTTCGCAGTTCTAAGACTTTTGCTTATCAATAGGGAGAATATACCATAACTCCATATTCAATGAACAAGAGAGGAAGGAGGTTGATACCATGTCTCCTTTCCACATCCATCAAAGATGTTAGTGCTGTTCCACCGACTGTCCAGTCTTCAACTGGAGCTTTCAAATTTCCCACCTATATATGAACAAGTGTGTCAGTATAAATTGCAATTTTCTACGTAAAGATAGTTACGTAAAAGGAAGGGAGAAAGGAGGGAAGATATAAGGAGGCATGGAAACACCGACAGAAGAAATCAAGCCTGTTTTGCCAGACTGAAGAAGTGCTCCAGCCCCATAACCCAATGCATAGCAATAGTTGGAGTCAAAATTTGAAGGCAAACCACATCTACCCTCGTAACTACAAAGCAAACAGAGTCAAGTACGAACTATTATCAGGATAAATTAAGGAAAGCAGTTCTTAGTACTCGTATCAATTACAGGTTATTAAAGAAGAACAGCACAAGTCAAATGTAAGTGGCATCAATTACCCAAAAAAATGAGACTGCCCTTTGAATTGTTTGGTATATGAACCTTCCTTTCTCTTGCTTTCGAGTTCAGCTTCCACCATTTGAATAAGCATTTTCTCAGTTTCTATTTTGGCAACCTGTAGAAATTGCAAAAGAAAATGTACTATAAGACAAATGACATAGTATGACTTGACTAAATGAGCAGTTGTCCTATTTGCCTGACTTCCATCGAACTGAAGGAGAGTACCTGGACATTTCCATGTGGATCTCTTTCAAGAAGTAACTGCTCCTGAATTGCTTGTGGTAGGAGTTCAAAGAGATCGTGAGACTGGCTTTGGAGTTTCTTTTTCCAACTGCCAGCTTCATCAATAACATCATGAGCCAGGATTTCATTGAGCTCTGCAATCAACTGTTGCACCTGCAATAAGAGAGATAATCTTAACAACACTTTGTTGATTTTTTCTGTTCATAATGATAAACGAATCAACTAAATCAGATGCAAAAGACAGAACAAGCTGAAAGGAGAACTGAGTGAAATGGAGGTAAAAAGTTATACAACAAGAAATAGAGGGAAATATGATTTCTACAGTTAAAAGTTTGAACCTCTGGAATGAAGTCAATCAGGCCTTCAGGTATTAGTATAACTCCATAATTATAACCAAGTTTTGCTCGTTTACAAATTACTCCTACGATGTAATCTGTAACACTTTTAAGTGTTTGCTTCTGTGCTGCAACCTGTGGCAAAACAGTATCTTTGTCAATATTAGGGAAAAATCACGAAACAGTTCCTATAAAGTTAATTCTAACTAAGATACTTGGCATGATCCTCTTTACAGAATAGTTCTCAGGAAAAAAAAAGTCATGAAAATGAAATTTTAATGCAATTAATCATCTCGATGGCATGCACTGAAGTCCCTACCTAGTAATTTAAGTAGTAGAGTTAAGGCTTTTCCTTAGACATAGTATACAATAGAAACTTAGAGAAACTCTGAATAAAATTGAACTTCCAAAAATAACCCATTACTCCAAAGAGTTTCTTCATTACAAATTTATTTAAACTGTGCATTTGTAATGAATTCTAGGAGAATACTGAATTCTCTCTTCAAGTTTTGGGCACATATAAGTGTAATATGTTGCATACATGCATGAAAAATATGTTCAATGATTTGGAAAACAATTACCTCTTCGCCAATGATGGTAATATTTGGATGGGTTTGAAGAGCACACTCCAATGTGATGTGTGATGCAGCACGGCCCATAAGCCTTACAACTAGAGAAACCATAAATTGCTTGATAAAAAGAACATGAATAATAGTATTGAGAGTTAAAATTATAAATTTATTTAGAAGAAAGAAGTCCTAGTTCTCAAAGTTACGCATGTATAAAGTAGTATCCCAAGTTGTCCACTATTTATGTACTTACAGTGATAGTATTTTCCTGTTGAACGAGCATCTATCATGACATTTCCAATCATTTCTGCATATATCTGCACCGAAATTGTGAAGTTGGATAATCTCTATCTATACATTCCATAGATAGGAGTAACCTACCGAAGTTATCAAATTTGTGTGATAATATGTCATTACTAAGAAAACTAAGAAAGCAACAAGGTTTTGGTGAAATACTTCCATAACAGTTTGAAAATAAGACAGACAGCATAAAAATATTCTGAAGTAACACCATTTCAAAGTGTTTCTCATACTAGAAGTAACAAAAACTAATGGTCAAGAGAGAAGTGCTACCTAGATGTTATTTATAAAAATAATGTGAAGTAAAATGGAACTAAGATTTAGGAAATAAGGCAAAAGGGAAAACAATTACCTTGCAAGCAGTATCAAATCCGAAAC